GCATAAGAACATTGGGTCAGGTCGGAATCTAGACAGTAGCATATTGACCATCCAGAAATGAAGATTGATTTTTCTAATACTTTTCCTAGAGAAAATCAAGAAACTCTGTTTTTAATTTTGGTTTATTTTTGCATTACTGAAATCTTATTTTCCCCTTGAACATTCTGTGAGTGAATATTGATTGTGATATGTTTTGAATTGATACACAGTTTGAGTCCTTATTCTGCCACTGCAGGTCATGAAGTATGGTACAAGTCAACTCATCTTTTTTGAGTCTCTGTTCTAGGATCATTATTTCCAAACTAGAGGTAATACAATTAGCTGCACTTACTTCATAGGGTTGTTGTAGAGAAACACATGTCAATGTGCTTCTGAGATTGTGGAGAGAAAAATATAGGGGCTTTTGCTAAAGCACTGCTTAATAACCATGGAATAAGATCCATTGAGTCATAGGCTTAAGGCATTCCATGTCTACAAGGTAGATGGATTTAGGCCCATGGACATATCTCATGAAAGCCCTTTCCTAGACTTTAAAAAGGGGTTACGGCTAAACACAATTGATAACAGTGAATCTAAATTCCAAAATCAATTTCCGTAATAGTCTATGTGTTTCCTACTGCCAAAGGGGCCCTTTAGAGTAGTGAGAGAAGACATTCACCCTGAAACCCACAGTGTCCCTTTTCAGCAGGAAATAGCTAAAAGAATACGCCATCCCCTTTTCCTTATGAATCAGCGTGAAGTCTCTCTCAGGGAGGAGTGATAGGGAATGGCAAAGGACACACCGACATAGGAGATTAATCAGAACTGACTTTGACAAGCACTGTGGCAATTGGACAATTAAAACAGACATTCGGATGGCGGGGAAGAAGAACAAACTGGGGAGGAGGGTAGAGAAAATGGTGCAGTAATGAAGGAATGAAAACCCAAAATCCCTGTAAATGTTCATTAAAACTAATAAAATTTAATAAAATAATAAAAAAAAAAAACCAGCCCACACTCTCAGCTCACGGCTGGCATGTTGGAATCTGCTTATAGCTGAACCTCCGTGGAGTTTCCAAAACTGTACTAGAGGAGATTGCTCCTCTTTTTTCTTGGAGAAAGGCACAGTCTATGGTTTAGTCCATGAACTACATCCCCAGAGCTCCCCCTTAAGTCAAATGAGAGTCTGATATTCTGAACACGGACTGAGAGAGTATATTTCAAATAGCAGAATGAAGATTCTTTAGCAACATTAACACTGTCAAGTCATGTCGTCCCCAAGTGTTGACAGAGATTTTAAACTGATGACTTTTCTGAAGTAAAATGCCCTGCGAAGTGTTGGGATGGGTTACTAATTTGAGCTTTGGAGGCAAATTATCTCCTTTAATTTAGTGAAGTCCTTTTTGTAAACCTTCAAATAAGGCTGTAAACTAGATATCTGTTTAAACTTTCAAAATACCTGAATCCACTAGGAGGGCGATCTGCTATGTTATGCAATTTTCAGAGTCCAGCTGCATGTTCAGTATGTTGTGTTTTGTATGTACCATCAAGTCTTGCCTGCGACTCATAGCACTCTTTATATAGCAACTCTCAAGCCCTGTCCTGAGCCAGTCTCACTGACTCCAACACAATTACCCTCTTTGGCCCAGGTACTGTATCAATCAGCTATTTGTTAGGTTTGCAAAACAAGACAGACTGTTAGCAAAGCTCCTGGCTCTGTGTTCTTTCAGAGAATTTGCTTCCTGGAACGCCGTGCAGAAGAGGGTCCGCCATTCCTTATGTTTGCAAGCTTCCTTGAGTTTGATTGAAAACACATGGCCTCTTTCATCTGAATTCAGGAGAATCTCAGAATGGCTTTTCTATTTTTTTTAAGTAGAACATGAACAGGAAGTTATGCAAATAACAAGTATATGGCTAAATGATCAGAAAGTGAATATACACGTCACCATGACAGAGATCACAGAAGAAAGCATTATCAGCAGGAGGGCTCCTACATAGCGAAGGCCTTGGGCTCCAGTTTTAATCTGCAGTAAAACCACATTAGTGAGTACTTCACTGAAGATGGCTTGTAATAATTTGGATTTTAATTTGTAGTCTAATTTTTTCAAATATAAATTTACATGTGGTTAGTTTTCTTACTGTGTTTACCATCTATGCTGGTAGATATAAACATGTTTGTAGGGGACGTTACGTAATTTATAATTTTCAAAATGAACATTCTGTTGGGGGAGTAGATGGAAGCTCCCAATTATAAATATATACCAAGGCCATATATACTTACTTTGTAAGTGGAAAAATGATTTTGGGGTGCAACATTGACGAAGGGCCTCTTGCTTAATCCTGAAAGTCAGTTTATTATGAAGTAGGTTGGATTAGGGAGACTGATAATAAATGTTTCAAAGATGGAAACAGAGCAGACCCCCCTGATCTCAACCATGGAGGGGGTCAGAGATGCCATCCTGGTGGATTTGGCAAGCACAGCCAAAGGAATCGTGACTCATGAAGACATTTGATGTCTTCTGTCCCCACAGTTTAAAAGGTGTGGCACACAAAAGGCATCAAGACATCCCAAGTCTGTCCTGACTCTGCCCCCTTCCCCCCACCCCCCACCTTGGCAATGCCCAGGCCAAGAACTCTTGTGCGTGAGGAGAGATGAGGTGATCAGAGCCTTCCTCACCTCTTCCCCAACTGGGGCCTATTAAACCATGAGTCTCAATTTCTGACAAAACAGAAGCACTTGTTTAGAAGCCTAAATATCCTCTAGATTTAAGGAAGTCAGTCTCCTTTGCAAAAATTACAAAGTTTAGTTAAAAAGTGATAAACATTTTTAGTGTGATAAACTTTGTAGACCTGATTTGAACAATTTCCCCCCGCCCCCTTTGAAGAGATCGGAATGCTTCCTAAAAAGAAAAAAGCATTAAAAACAACAACAACAAACCCCTTTTCTACCAACAAGGGGGCACTGGTGGTGTAGGCCCTGGGGAGTTGAGTTGTACAGCTAAAAGGTTTGAAATCACCAGCGGCTCCACAGCTGAGGGGTCAATTATGAGTTGGATCCATTCGACAACAGCAAGTTTCTACAGCAGAGGCTCCATTTTCTCAGTCTATTATCCGTCTCAATCTTTGTGTCATGTGTCAGAATCCTCAAGCTGCTCTTACTTTGTTTCTCTGGAATAAATAAATGCATGTCTTTTCTCCTTGCAGAGAAAGGAGAGCTCTTTGTACCCTCTTCCAGCTACTTTGATGTTGTCTACTTGAACCCTGACCGACAAGCTGTGGTTCCTTGTCGAGTGACTGTCCTGTCAGCCAAAGTCACACTTCACAGGGAGTTCCCCGCCAAGGAAATCCCAGCCAATGGAAAGGACATTGTGTACGATGTGAAGAGAGGCTTTGTGTATCTGCACCCTCATTCGGAACACCAGGGAGTGGTCTACTGCAAAGCCGAGGCCGGGGGCAAGTCTCAGATCTCTGTCAAGTACCAACTGCTGTATGTAGAGGGTAAGCTTGCTGCCCACCTGCTCAGCATTGACATGCTGGTTCCTGTTTACAGGTAGAAATGAAGAGGCGTCAAATGCTTTTCTTAATGTCTCCTCGAATCTCAGGTGCTACCTCCTTATCTGTGACCCTGACCCAAAAGACCGTCTACTCCCTTCCCTCCCACATCCTTCCTTTGTTCCAGGATTGCTTCTGCTCTGCCCCTGACCACCACACTCTAGCCTCCAGTTTCTGGTCTTCTGCCCTCTCCACCCACAAACAGTTCAGATTCCATGGCTCTCTCTAGTTCCCTGAACTCCTTCGCTTTCTGTGCTTTCCTCTCTCAGTGCAGGAAAACACCATCTTACATGGACCCACAGAGCTGAGGGCTGTGGGAAAACATCACACGCTGGAAAATGATGCCACTATGGTCCTGACTTTCAGCCTCCTCCACCTGGTGGTCCTACGGAGGTTTTTCCCTCCTTTCACAAGGAACACTGCACCTCACTTTAAGAATTTTCAGTTTCTGTTTCTTTATTCCCTTGCAATTCCTCTCATTCCCTCCTATGTATGGAATTGAAGTATACAGAAATCTTCAAATACGTCTTTTCTTTTTCCCTTCTGATTTTGAATATTCATGTGTATGAAAGAAGACTGTTTAGTCTCAAGTTTGGCATTGTATCCTATGGATGTTGTTGTTGTTGTTAGGTGCCTGCGACTCATAACAACCCTATATACAACAGCCTTAACCCTGCTCTATGCCGCACCAATCTTATTGTCTCTGACACAGCTACTCCCATTACCCCTGTCACTCAATCAAGCCATCTCATCAAAGGTCTTCTTTTCTTGTGCTGTCCCTCCACATTCCCAAGCATGATGTCCCTCTCCAAGGACTGATTCCTCCTTACAACATGTCCAAAATATGTCAGACAAAGCTTCAGAATTCTTGCCACCAAGGAACAGTCTGATTTCACTCTCTCTAGGATGAACCTGTTTGTTCTCTTAGCAGTCCATGGCATATTTAATACTCGTCTCCAACACCACAGCTCAAAGGCATCAGTTCTCCTTCTATTCATTTGCCAGCTCTCTGATGCATAGCAAGTAATTGCAAAGATCATGGCCTGAATTAGGCATGCCTTAGTCTCCAGACTGATATAATTACTCTTCAGTACTTTGGAGAGATCTCTGACAACAAACTTTCCCAGTGCAATTTGTCTTTTAATCTCTTGGCTGCTGGAAGCCTCTCTTAGTGCTGGTGGTTCCTTTCCATATATAGTCTTTCCCTCCTCCTGTGCCCTTTGCTGCAGACCATCCATGTGCACATCTTTGCTTCAAGCAGCATGTGGTCAGAAAAGGCAGTTGCACTATCCCTTCTACCTCCTGAGTCTGAAGCATGTGAAACCCAGAACATGGAGACAGGAACACAACTCAGGCCCCTCTCCACCTGGAAACACCTACTTTGCCATCCTCCCAGTGAGCAGATCCCAGACTACAGAGCAAATCGCTACTTCCTTCCTCCACTTCCTGGAGGGAAGCTCCCCTCCCCAGCTCCCTGTGAGGGCCCCCTGGGAACAGTTTCTCCTCATGTGCTGTTGTTCCTCAAAGGTGATTCTGTTCTCTTACAGTGATGGCTGAACTAGGTTCTTTCAGTATGATAGAGCTTCTGCTTCTGGTCTGGTGACTCGGTCGTGTGGTGAGAGGAGCATCCCTAGGAATCACTGTTCGCTGAACTTAGAACTTGGGCTTTTTAGCTTCTTGTTCCTTGTTGGTAGAGTAGTGAGTATCCACACAGGTCACGTGGTAGACCAGGGTTTGAGTCCCAGTAATGCACACATCTTTTTGGGAGCTCTGGTGGTTTAGAGGTAAGGAGTTGTGCTGCTAACTTGAAGGCATGTGGTTCTAATCTAGCAGTTCTGCAGAAGAAGGATGGGTGTTCTCCTCCTGTGAGATTCACTGCCTCTGAAAATCCCTGGACAGTTAGCTATGAGTCAGTTCCAGCTCAGTGGTCCGCAACACATCAGCCTCTTGTTCTCAGCCATGGGGCCAAGGCACCAGACTGGTGGCCGTTAACACTGTCCAGCTACCAAACACCTCCAGCGGTCAGTTCACGCAGGCTATGTATCTTCCAGCTTTGAAACCAAACTCCCTGAATGGACTCTGTACTATCACCTCTGTTTCCTTTTTCCTCACATGCTCCTCAGCCCACTTCCACCTGCTTTTCTTTTTTAAAAAAAATATATAACAGTTAATATTTATTAAGTCTTAATATATACTTAACATTGTTCTAAGCGGGCTACTTATATCAGCCTAGTCAATCAGCATAGAAACTTCCGAGGCAGGTGTCTTTATTACTAACCCATTTTATAGATAAAAGTTGAGGCAGAAGCTGAGTAACCGGCCAGGGGTTATAAGGTCAAGCTCACAATCATCAAGCCAAGACTGAAGCAAGATTGGCACCAGTGGCCCGACTGTTCTATCCTCCCTCATTCTTAAGATGGAGGGATGCAAGGTACAAGGAGAGGTTGGCACATTCAGTTCCGGGAGGGAAGGGCCCCTGGAGTCTTGAAAGATAAGACTTAACCAGAAAGGAGAGAAAATGGAGCAGGACTTCCAGCATGACTGGCCTGAGAGAGGTCCAGAGACACAGGAGGCAGGGAAGTGCTCAGGGACCCGGAAGCAACAAGTGGGTGGGAGGCTGTGGATGACCCCAAGGGGTTGTGTAGTCAGTGAAGGACCCTGAGCTCCATTTCAGTAGCCGTGGGAAGCCATTGCGGCCAGGAGGGCCCAGGAGGACGTGCGCAAGGTCCTTAGAGAGGATGAACCACCTAACTTTCTTCTTCTCCACCAAAACAGACATTGCCAAGGTTCTCAGAGCCTCTAGTGTCATCAGATCCAGCAGATTTCTTTTTCTCTCCTTATCTTTCTAGAATCTGTTTTGTGTGAAATCTTCACTTTCCTTGGCTCTACATTTTCTTGCCCCTACCCGTCAACACTCTTATTCTATTTTGCTAGCTCTTTGGCTTCTAAACAACTCCCATCAAGCTAATTCTGACTTGCAGCAACTCCAGAGTGCTAAGAGGCTGTGCTTCGTAAGACTTTTTTTTTTTAATTGATTTTTAAAAAATTAATTTCTTTTCATGAAAGTTTACAGAGACTTTGGTTTCCATTCATTCATTGTTGCAATTTTCCCCCTGCCCAACCTCCCCTAGTTCGATCTTCTCTTTGAAAAGTAAAAAAAAAAAATTCTTTCATTATTATACAATCCCCCCGCCCCACGTTCATTCACTCCATTATGCAGCCTTCCTTTTGAAAAGTAAAAGTTCTTTCAATGGCTGATTTTTGGGAAGTAGACCAACAGGTCTCTCTACCAATGTTTTATGGATGGACTTGACCTGCCAACCTTTTGGTTCAAAGCAGAAAACACTGTTCGCACTACCAGTGGCTCCCTCCCTTTGTCTTCTACTACTTTTTAAGGTCAGAGTTAGCCGGACACACTTCTTGCTCCTTGTTCTCTCTCTGATCGGTCAACCGATATGTCCTGGAGAAGGGGCAGCAGCCAGAGTGCTCCTCGAAGGCAAAGATAGCGAACCTCTGTCTTGCTTACTTTGGGAATGTTGCTAAGAAAGGCTGTTCCTTGCAAAGGGACATCATGCTTGGAAAAGTTGGAGGATGAAAAAGGAGAGGAAGACCCTCAACCACATGACCTGAGCAATAGGCTACAGTGTATCAGAGATTGTGAGGATGGTATAGGATAGGGCAGGGCTCAGATCTGTTCATAGGGTTGCTATGAGTTGCACTCAACTCATAGGTACTTAATAACAACAACAACAACAATTCTCTATACACAAAGTCAGAGCTCTGGTAGCCTAGTGGTAAAGAGCTGTGCTGCCAACCCCAGAGCATGTGGTTCAGACCCACAAGTTGCTCCACAGGAGAAAGATGGGCACTCTCCTCCCAGGCAATTTATTGTCTCTGAAAACGTGCTGTTGGGTCGGCTAGGGGTTGCTTCCAATTTGATGATACATAACAACAGCAACAACAGTAACAACTCTTACATTAATTCATCTTGCCAGTTATCTGGGCTCCAAAGCCATATTTCCAGCTGTCTATCCAACGGACTACCTCATATCTGCACTCAGATGCTTCTCAGGTTTCCTGGCCCCACATACCATCACCAAACTCAGGCTCTCCCTCCCCACGTCTGATTGTCGAGCTTCTCTGGCGTCGCGTGGCACTGTCAGACCCCCATGTGCACCAGCTGAAGACTGGACAGCAAGCCTGACTCTCTGTTCTTTCCCGAGTCTGTTAGCCTTTTTTTCCATGCAATCATAAAAAATGCCACAGCTCCTCTCTTCCCTTGCTTCCAGTAGAGATCAAATTATCATCATTGTCCTTCAAATGACACCAGTACCTTCCCAGTTGCTGTCCTTGATACCCACTGTTCTCTCTCAGATCCATTTCCACACTGTGTTGCTGTTAATTACCACTGATTTGGCCTCAAAACATGGCAATTCCACGGCTCAACCAAACAGGAGCTGGCCACTTCGGTGCCATCCCCTCGATGGTCTGCCTCCACTAGGGCGCTTCCTCTCACCTTGAGTTGTGGATCAGATGACCTACAGGGTTTTCACTACCTGGTTTTTAACGGTAGATTTTCAGACCTTTGGGGTCCACCTTAGCCTGGAAGCTCAACTGAAACCCGTTCAACGTCACAGCAACATACACATTTCCACTGATAATGGGTGGTGGATGTCTCTGCAGGACGTTGGCCTGAACTCAAACTTGGGTCTTCTGCATAGAAAGCCAGGATTCTGCCTCAGAGCCACTGTCGCCTTTGATCGCAATGCAATTCTAGCCATCCACTAGCTTCCCAGTTCTCCTAGAACCAAGCCAACGTCTTCCATATGTTCTGGCAGGCCCAGTGTGACCTGCCCCACCTGCATGGTCTTGCTCTCCTCCGGACCTGTCTCTTCCCTGTCACCTCAGGGGCTGTGCCCACTGCCCTGCTGGTCTCATGGCGCTGGTGCTGCCCCGCATCTCCCACTTGGGTATGTTCAAACTCCTTTCTCAGGGAGCCTTCTGGTTCTCTCCTTTAGAGCTTTTCAGAGCACTCTGGCTTTTGTCATTCTTAACACAGTTGACATTTTAAATAAATCCTCCAATTATGTGCTAAACATCCTCCTCCTCTGCTATCACAAGGCTTCTAAGGCTGAGAGGTTACGTCTGTTTGCTCACTGCTGTAGTCCCAGCCTCTAGCCTATTGCCTTGCTCAAAGCTGCCGTCAGAATGACTTTGAATGGACCAGGATGAAGAGATTTGTTTGTAAAATGCTGTGGAATAGAAGTGCTGCAGTCATGCAGCACCGCCTTGGTGACCTCTGTGCTGACAGTTTTCTCACGAGAATAGTTTGGTGTCCGCCTGTTCTTTCTTGAGGATGCACAGCCTCTTCCACTACATTCTGCTTGTTCGTTCTGCAAGGACAGAGTCCTTCCCTTTGTCCTAGTTTCAGAGTGCTGCCATTAAAAATAACCCATGAAGTGGGTGGGTTTAGAAAGCAGAAATTTGTTTCTCAGAGTTATGGAGGTATTGTGTTTTTATTTTGTGCCATTGGGTCACTTCCGACTCAAAGCAATCCTATACACATTGTCTCTGAACCCTGCCCTATCTTAAAGCAATATCATCATATCCCATTTCCCCAGTCACTGAATCAATCCATCTCATTGGGGGTCTTCCTCTTCTGCACTGTCCCTCGACCCTTCCAAGCATGATGTCCCTCTCCAAGGACTGGTCTCTCTTGGGCACGTACCCAAAATATGTGACACGGAGTTTCAAAATTCTTACCTCCTGAAAGCAGCTGGGTTGCCTGGATTCACCCTCTCCAGGACAGACCTATTTATTCTCCTGGCAGTCCACAGGCTATTCAACACTCGTCTCCAGCACCACAACTCAAAGGCATCGGTCCTTCTTCTATTGTCCTTAGTTACTGTCCGGCTCTCAGATGCATAGCAAGTAATTGCGAAGCCTATGGCCTGGATCAGGTGCACCTTAGTCTCCAGACTGACATTGTTGCTCTTCTGTACTCTGGAGAGGTCCCTGATAGTAGACTTTCCTAATGCAATTTGCCTTTAAATTTCCTGACCGCTGGTGCCATGAGTGTTGATAGTGGAATCAAGCAAGCTGAAGTTATCAACAATCTGAATCTCTTCTCCATACATCATGAAGCTGCCAATTGGCCCAGTGGTGAGAATCTTTGTTTTCTTGATGTTGAGCTTCCATCCATGTTGAAAACTACATTCTTTGACCTTCTGCAACAAATGCCTCTTGTCCTCTTCAGTTTCAGCAAGCAAGGTTGTATCATCTGCATAACATAGGTTGTTGATGAGTCTTCCTCCAATCCTGATGCCTCATTCCTCCTCATAAAGTCCAGCTTCCTGAAGATTGTTCTGCATATAGATTGAAGAGATATAGAGCTAGGATGCATCCCTGATGCATATCTTTCCTTAACCTGATCCATGCAGTACTTCCCTGCTCTGCTCTGACTACTGCTTCCTGGTCCAAGTTCTGTAGGTAGAGATTGGAATTGTTTTTTCTCACTTGCCTGCAGGGGAAGATTCTTCCTTGAAGCTGCACATTTCCTGGCCTGTATGTGGTTCCTCCCATGGTGTCTCCGTTGTGTTTCTGTTTCTCTCTCTTTTCTTCTCTTTCATAAAACACAGCTCAAAAGCACAATTGGGACTCGCTCTACTCCAGGAATGACCTCATTTAACTGATAACAATTTGTTGCTGTTTTCGGTTGCCATGGAGTCGGCTTTGATTCACGGTGACTACGTTCAACAGAATGAAGCACTCCTCAGTCCTGCACCATCTTCATGACTGTTACCATGCTGCATCCATTGTGACAGCTGTTCTAGCACTCCACCTCATTTCTCTTGTTAATGATACAGAAAACTATTCCGAAACCGGTTCGTGCTCTATTATTGTATATTGGCAGTCAAGCATATATTTTGAGGAAACATTTCAATCATACTTTTTATCCCCTCCACATGGGCCCTTGGAAGCCCTCTCAGCATCCTCTCCTAATTATAAGATGGGTGGCTGGACCCAGACAGCTCTGGATGCAGACTCCGTCCTGGGCCAAGTGGTAAGGAGCTGCACTGGCAACCTGAAGGTTGGTATTTAGAATCCACCAGCTGCTCCACAGGAGAAAGATGGGCAGTCTGCCCCTGTTTGATTTCTAATTTCTGAAAATCTGCTGGAGAGGCAGCCATGGACAGGCAATTTGATTGCAATGAGAGATAGATTGCTAGCCTCAGAAGAAACAATAAATGGGTTAGGTTTGTTGCTAGTTGGGAGCTCTATATAAATGTTACATACCTGCTTCCTTCAAAAATCTATGTGTTGTTTTATCTTTAATGTTGTAGTGATAGATTTCATTTCACTTCTCCTATCTTCTGCTTACTTCCAGTTCCCAGCGGACCTCCATCAACAACCATCTTGGCGTCCTCTAACAAAGTGAAAGGTGGGGACGATATCAGCGTCCTGTGCACTGTCCTTGGGGAACCCGATGTGGAGGTGGAGTTCAGGTGGATCTATCCAGGCCAGAAGGTAAGCTCATGCTCCAGGGTCAGCCAGCTCCTTTCAATTCTCAGGGTTGATTTTATTTCCAGCGAGAGAGGTCATAATTCAAAAAGTGTGGGAAGACTGCAGGACTGTGCACACAGCCAAAGTTTGTTTACTCTTAAGATATTTTAGTATATTTACAAATGGACCTTTTTTTTTTTTTTTAAGGATAGGGGCTGGGGAGAGTTACTGGGTTTCACCGGAAATTCATTCGATGTTCTTTCTTCAGTATAGTTTTTGGCTTATAAACTCTTAAGAAGGACCAGGGGTATTAAGAGGAAAGGAGGGGGCTCCCGTCTTCCCCTCACTCCGCAACCTCCAGGTCTATTTGAGGCTATTCTAGCCATGCCCTGTCCTTCAGGACATTCTCCCCTTTATGGGCGGCTCCTGTGGTGAGGAATTGAGCAGATATCCTCCAAGTGGGCACTGAAACATAAGCTCTGTCCAAAGGGTGCTGTGAGGCCAGAGCTCATCTTAAAATAGACTTCCCATAAAAGCAGCCACTGCATATTTAGTCTTTGTGCATGCTCTGCTCACTAAAATAAACAACTTTGCTATCAACATGGAATAATCCCTTTGTTGCCAAAAGAGATCTGGTCTCTGAAGACATACTCAGGAGCTAACACACAGCTTACGGGCTGTGATTGGTGGAACATATCCATCCCTAGAGAATAGTATCGTCAAGCATCCTGGTATTTAGAACTTGTTTTTAAACTGTTGCCATACTAATGATGCTTAAAACAAGGTTGTTTTCTATACTTTAATTTGGCATTTTATGAGCAAAGGGGGGGGGGCAACAACAACAAAAAAACCCAACATAACGCCAAATCAAAAGCCTCATTGCAAAGTTAATTCTAACTCATCATGAGCCTTTACTGAGTTTCTGAGGCTGTAACTTGTTACCAGTTGCTCATCCTCTTCTCTTGGAGAAGCTGATAGATTGAAACGGCTGACCTTTTTGGTCAGTAAACAAATGTATATAGTAGACACTATGCCAGAAGGCACTTCATGGGCAGAAATTTTGTGAAACTAAAAATATTAGTTATGCTAAATAAAGAAAACAGGTTCTTATCACCAAAGTTGAATGAAACATTTCAGAAGTGACTAATTTTCTAGAAAGAAAGTCCTCTCTTTTAGGGCATCACCTTATTATCCATGGCATTATTCCCCCCTTGGTGTTCTGTGGCATATGTGACTAATCACCTTTCTCCTCTGTGAAATCTGTACTTGGGAGCTCTTTTTATGCAATTAGTGCTTTGGGCTTCTTTTGACTATCAATGTTATGAATAAAAGCCATTTAGCTGGAGAGTGAAAGTGGGCAATGTGAGGAGGGCTGGTGTGGAAAATCTTAAGCATGTCTTTATGGTAAGTAACAGTTGCACTTTCTTTGAGTTTCAAAAAAAAGAAATTTGATATAAGTAGAAACTTATTGAAGAAAAGTGCAGGAACAGAGAGCCAAACAGCTTTATGAAATTCAAGATTCTGCTTGGAAGAAATGCAACCTGGAATGATTATAGAATGTAAAAGCTTCCCCAGCCTCTGAGCTACTCATACCAAATAGTCTTTTTAAAGCCTGTGCTTTACGCTTTGAAAAGAACATTCAGCAGTCTGGGTGAATGGGAGCTGTTTATAGCAGCTTGCTGCTGCTGCAGTTTGTGTGGGTGTTGTTAAACAGGGTGAGAGGCCAGTGACGATTCAAGACACTTGGAGGCTGATCCACAGAGGGCTTGGACACACCACAAGAATCTCCCAGAGTGTCATTACAGTGGAAGACTTTGAGACCATTGATGCAGGCTATTACATTTGCACTGCTCACAATCTCCGAGGACAGACTACAGTCGCCACCACTGTTGAATTTTCCTGACTTGGAAAAGAAAGGAAAATGGAACTGATGGAAAGCCCTTGTGTGTATACAATCAGCTCTGAGGTTCCTTTGATCAGTGCTTAGCCAGAGGCTGATGTCAAGTGCCAATCCCCACCCACTGCCTGTGAGTCAGACCTTGACCTCCAAAAAGGTAGTTCTCTGGTTTAATAACAGAAGTATTAACTTTGAACAGAAAGCATGTATTTTGATTGCTTACCTATATACATATTTCCAGTGTTTATACTAAGAAACCATATATGTAAACAACTGTATATCATCATTTCTATTAAATGAGCAAGTTTTATAAAAAACAGAATTAGATGTTTGTGTTTTTAAAGCTGGTATGAAGTACACTTGTATACATTCCGAACGACCTTATTTGCTAAGATGTGTGGCATCTTTTTTTAATATGTATGATTACTATAATGCACCCAGAATATTCTTTAAGTGGAAATATATATTTTTTTAAAAGTTACTGTTTGATTCTGACTCATGGGGATGTAATGTGTGAGAGAAGTGTCCAGTTTCACATGGATGGTCTTTTCAGGAGTTTACCAGGCCTTTCTTGTCAGGTGTCTATGTAGATTTGAACTTTCAGCCTTTCAGTTTGCAGCTGAATGTGTTAACTATATGCTCTGCCTACAGACTCCAGTACACAGGTTAACTCGCTGCTGCCAGGTTGATTCTACAATTGGTTATTATGTATTCTTTACAGAAAGAATGTTCATCTTTGTCCTGTGGAGAAGCTGGTGGATTTGAACCACTGACTTTTTGTTAACAGTCCAACTATTTTGCAAATCAAAACTCAAATGTTAGGGAGCTCTGGTGGCCTAGTGGCAAGAAGCTGCACTGCAATCCCAGAGGTGCATGGTTCAAATCCACCAGATGCTCTGCTGAAGAAGGAGGGACAATCTCCTCCTGTACCAGTCAGATCTGATTTGACGGTACATGCACAAAAAATTTAAAAAAACCCTCAAATGTTTACACATTACTTTTTCTTAGTAACCAAGTTAATCATACTTGAGCTATCTATCTTCTTTAAATCTTGTATATAGTTCCCAATTTATGAGTTACAACAAACTATACCTTACAACCATCTTTTTTTGAGAATATTGTTAATAATATATTACACACAATGCTGTAACATTTTTACTGATATTATCCCTCTTAGATGTAGTATTTCCAACTTCTAAAGACGAATAAAAATTGAATTTATAAAGATGCGGATAATCAAACTCCAAAAAGGTATAAACTTATAACAGAAATGCCTTATGTAGAAGTCATTGGAGTTGAGCCAAGTTTTAAGTCAGTCTAAGACTACCTGTATTTGTTTAAGACTACCTGTATTTGTTAACTCAAAAGAGTACACTCTTGTGGTTTAGTGATAAACAAAGGTTACCAGTCATATGCTGATGCTGCTACCCAAAGGCAAGTGGTTTGAATTCACTATCTGTTCTGTGGGAGAGTGTTGGGAAATCTCCCGGTGCCTTTTACTGCCTCTGAAACCCATTTCAGTGAAAGCCACGAGTCAGTTTCCACTCGACTGCACATAACAGCAACATCCCACACACACTCAACGGTAATCTATTCCGTAAGCACCAGAACAGATGCTTTGAAGTTTTGCTTCAAAATACATGTCAAGAACAGGAGTCATCATTGTTTTGAATTTTTTTTTTTACTATCTTCAAAACTATCTAGATTATAATATTTGATTTTCTTAACTTGTACAACAGAAATTGATAAAAATCTGTCAAATTTTATTTCTCAAATACACACAGCTTTGAATTTAGAAAAGCTTAGCTCTAAGTTCAGGTCCAAGAATCATGTTTCAACCCATGGCCAATTTTGAGATTGCAATGGAAATTCCTGGAAATAGCTTCAGAGAGGACACAATCTTCTACTGTACAGTGAGACGGGTTGTACACATGAAACCATTTTGAGGTGTGAAGTATGCCAGGCATTGTGATTCTTAATATTGAATATTCCAGCATTATTTATTTAATAAAATTAAAATACATTTCCCAATACTACAAACTGAGTACAAACCACAGTTGGTTACACATCCATATATATATATTAATGACGTGCCAACATTTTGCATCCTATGTGAAACATTTGGTTGGAAAACAAAAATCGTAAAATCATAAAATTCTCCATTTCCTATCTTCTCTCCTGTTGTCTCCCATCCTCTGAAAACATTTTTCTGTAAGACTGATTTCCCCAGACACCTAAATAATACGGAGGACCGTCGGGAACATCACTAGATTTACCATGCATAGGGGATGAATGGCAAATCCACCTTTGGCTAATGACAGTAATGACAGTGAGTACAACTTGGAAGAGAGGGCAGAGATACTGTGAGCAGCGATATTCCAGGAGGTGGCAGTGAACCTCCATTCTAATTTACTACAAGCAACCATGTGAAGCTATACACATAACAACCTATTGGAGATTAAAGACTTCAGACACAATTGCTAATTTAAAAAAATCATGCAGGTAACTATCACCGTATGCAGTGTACATGTGAGTGATGACTCGAATATCCACCTCTAGTGTCCCGTGTTTCTTTTTACTGTAGGGGTTAATGTGCAGCCATCCAAGGTCGGCAACACAGGTTAGTCAATACTGACAGTGCAAAGTTGACGCGTGCAGAGTGAGGAAGAAAAAGCCACAAGTCTTCCTTCCATTTTCCCCAAAGATTCAGAATAAGGAGTGTGGTGTGGTGATATATGAAATTCTGGAAAGAAACGAAATGTGACTTGAAGGACATTTGGGCAAGCTGTGTTTTTCAATTATCAGTTGGTTAACCTGCTCCCATTCTGAGGGCAAAAAGAGTCTTCAGTGTGTACAAGACAAGTGAGTAGTATTTTTTTCCAGACTATTTTGTTTTATTAAATACTGGTTAAATCAAGGGATATCTATTAATCAACAAGCACTTTCTAGCTGTGTTAGGCAATGACTTTCTCTTCTTCTTCTTGGTTCTTTATTCTAAGCCTTTCCAAAATTTGTTGTAAAAATTCAGGCCCTGATTTATTTGGAAAGTGGTTTCAGCACCTTAAAAATTTGCTGGCCCTGGAAACACTCAACAAGAGAGGTATGCACTCCTTATCCTTGTCCCAGAGAAAAGCAAGGAGGAGGTAGCAGGTTGGCTTTTGTGGTTCTGGATGGGGGAGAGGAATGAGAGAAATATGGAAGCAAGAAGGAAGAGAAGATAGGTTCAATCTGCAAGGAGAGCTTAGAACAAGGTAAAAATAAGGCAGAGACAATTCATTAGTACTGCCCTTTCTCTTTATACAGATTTTTAGAAAAATTAGAATTCTGCATCTGCTTGTAGCCTGAGAAAATGGATCATATTATGGTGCTAGGGTAATGTGGTTAAGTTAAAAATCTACAGAAAAATCTAGCTAGTTTTAATTGACATGGCTGAACACTGACGACGGTCACTCCACCTGGACACACAGAATGAATGCACAGACCAGTCAATGTGTTTCCTTCTCACTCACAGCCCAGGTCAAAGGGCTGAGCGGAGTCGGTGATAATGATGATTCAAGCAGCTATTGCTCTTGCTTCTATGGCTTTTGCGGAAATGTGTACACGATTGATTGATTGATTGATTGATTAGTAAATAGACTCAGATAGACTCAGCTTTTGACTTTCAATACGCAGCAAAGAAGGCAGCTTCTCAGACCCAGAACATGGAAACAAACATCCATTTCATTCACACATCCTCAGTCAGACTGAAATAAAAATCACAAGAAAGGTGTCTCTGGTGAAGGACATTACAAAGGTTATAAATCTTTATCTTAATAGGCCCCTGAGAGTTTTCCCCTTATGCGTAGGTGAAAAAGGCAATGAACAAGATTCTCTCGTTCTTGAAGTGCTTTGTGCAACAACGTCCATGTGTATGAATCTCAAGATCCTTTGTGGCGGAGTCTTTTGGACTAAGCCA